AAAATTAYGAAATTGTAAGAACTTKTAAAACATATGACATTTGAATTTGTACACAAGCTAAAGCTTGTAAATGTAAAAATGTAAAGTAACTGTTACAAATACTATTTAAAGATTTCTGTCTTGAGGACAGAAACCTTTTTTTTAGGGTGGAGGTGCTATGTACTGACGTCCCACTGAGACATCTATACACGCATATACACGTAGATATATATAAGTGACCATGGGGCGTATGAGTTCGCCAATCAATTCTGTTGTGTAGGACCTCAATAGCTATATCGAAGGCCAAACTCCTAGCCTTTCCAAAATATTACCATGGTGTGAATTATATATACGAAATATTAAATATGAAATCGTAGTCTTGACAGGCGTTTTTAGAGATATGATTAATGTCGTCGGGTTATGGAGATTACGTATCGCGAATAACCAGGATGTGGCCGACCGGTCGCATGGGCGTGGGAAGCTTAGTGGGACACATACGTATCTTATCGATAGGAGAGGAAAYGCAGRGAGTAGGACTATCTGGACTATATAGGAGAGCCCCGATTAGACCCAATTCAGACGTGAGCCACYAGAGTCAGAGCAAGCACCTTCACGCCAGACACCAGTCCAATTTAATTATTCGGACTTAGAATATTTTGCAACCAAATCAATTTGTGCAGTAAAAAGTGTTTTATTTACATAGTAATCAAATAAATATCTAATAATTAATCACAAATTAAGTTGTTATACTTATTACACTCAATGCATCTACCTCAACACCAGTCGTTTGTCCTCCTGTATGCTGGGACGCTACATAATTATCACGTTATCAATATTATTGTACACACCATATTATTGTACTCGTCTCAGACTTACGACCAAATCATATGTATTATAATTAAGAATATTATAATATTTTACATGGTGTGAGATGAAATTCACGGTATTATGGTATCTCTCCAAACTGAAGACGCCTTCMCGATAAATTGGGTCATTCTCTCTTATATGAGTTCATTCATACCACTAAAATTATTATTATTAATTTAAATCACTTCGTATTCAACTGTCCTGATATCAGCATCTATATTTTAATTAATTTTATATCCGTTTATAATCTTCGCAAAAACCAAACAAATCTTTGTTTAAATTGATTCAAAGAGTCTTAAACTTCATAATGGATTTCCAATCATGTAAGAATATTTTATATTATATTATGGTATGATATGTAACATTATTATTTTATTCAGTCAATGAAATATTACACATCGTTTTAAAAAAATCGTCTGAAGAAAAATTAAATGTAACATGTGGTATAAATTGTAATATATCAGACCTGTGTCAGAAATGCAAGATAAAAAAGGATAAGTTTTGCAAAAATTATCATTTGGTAAATAGTTCGAAGTGGTTTGAAATTATAAAACGTAAATTTGGTAAATKTGAAATACTATGGTTAGTTGATGAAATTGCTACGTATTCCGGTTTTGATTTCGAAGTATTATTGCGTGAGTTGTATGAGAAAGTGTATAACATTATTTGTGATAGCGGACATGATTTCTGGAAAAAGAAAATTTCTAGAAAAAGCATAACCCGCAACAAACCGATGGTGAGTAACAATTATTGGAATAATTTAATTTATAWGATATTAGAATTAAAATGCGAAAAAAATAATATTATAGCACATAAGTATGATTTACCAATAAAAACAAAAAAAAATTGTTCGCAAAAATATATTTTTAGATTCCTTAGGTATATATTACGATTATAAAAAATTACCAACTATTGAAAACCACCGTTGTGCCAATTTCGGATCCAGTGCAAATGAAATTTGGTAGAATATTTTCCGTCCACTTCTAATTATTCTTAAAACTAATGTAATTATCATGTTTAAACAAATATTATACACACATCATTGTTATTGTACGCGTCATATATATAAATGTATCCCCGCTAATCCTCTTCCACTAAGGTGACTCGCACATAGGCACGTACAACATACAGCAAGGTAACAGCTACCCCCACAACATATATATCTTGTCCGCACACGGTACACCTCAGTCTGCTTTTAGTTACTGAATTTACGTACATAATATACGCTTTTTTTAAACATTTTGTGTAAACCTATAAGATTTTTTTTTTCTTCGTCTGTAAAGATCATCGTCGGTAATAACGTAAGTATTTTACATCTTTCATAAATTATTTAAAAATTACACCTAAATCTAATAAAAATGTCGAGTAATTCATCGCCAAATACACCGAGGTAAACCGTCGCAGAATTCAATAGAATTCTTGAGGGTATTTTACAGTCACCGGTGAGCTCTATATCACAACACAGTGAACTTATGTTTGATGACATGGTAAAGTTATAATTTTAAAATAATAATAATAATAATAAAAAAATATAAATTAAAATACAAAAATATTATTTAGGCTCAATCCCACGATAGCAGTTACTTGACCGATCATGAGTTGTGGCTTGCTGATATAGAGCAGGCTTATCTACCAGCTCGACGAGGTATTCTAAACCCAGTTCACTTCTCACCACCACAATGGTACATAGTTCCACCACCGCAAAATACCCCGCCGCGTCTATAACCAGTCCAAGCTCCGCCACAACGAAATACTCCACCAAACGTAAGACGTAGTTTGTTTCCTGATCCGGTGGATGATTTTTGGTTATCACCAATTTCCCCAGATATGTTAAGACCATATTATAGATTTCATCAGCCATCCCCTTCAGCTTTACAATACAGTCTCGAACAGCATGTTCCGCTCCAGGAACACGCTGCGCTAATTTTTGGGGCGTTATCAGACGCAACGCAGCATTCTACTGCTGATGAGGTTTCAATTGAGATGGAGTGGGATAACAATACCAATGATGAAGAGTTGAACCTCCATATGGATATGTATGAAGAGAACGAAGAGTTGAACCGCTTGCCAATGTGCAAAATTATACTGAATTTCTCCCGCTCCACTCACACCTGAGCTACTAAAATTATTAAAAACACACGTACAGCGCCACCCAATTAAGTTCAATCTACAACTCGAGGCTACGTATAGCCGACCAAACGTTCCAAATTCGTCGGAGAATAGGGCGTTTAAAACATCGACAGTTGAAATTTTTATGGAGTCAGGTATTGAGGAGATTATAGAGAGAGCGTACGTAAAGTTGTTGAGCGAGCAGGATGAGTATAAATCGCGTGGAAGTGAATTTACACTGGAGTCGATAGACGGGTTGTTTTTGTCAGTGTATAAATATATGCCGATGGGCGGCTCGTCATATATAGAGTTACCGTMGAATATCGAAAATAAACGAGGCACCATCAACCCGCAGAATGTGGATCAACACTGTTTTAAGTGGGCGATTCTAGCGAGACACGTGACGGGGACGGCGGTATGCCGTGTCGGTCAAAATTACAGGCAACACGAAAACAAATATAACTTTGATGGTATATCGTTCCCGACCCCGATGTCAGATATACCGAAATTTGAAAAAAATAATATTAACGTATCAATAAATGTATACGGTCTAGACAAAAAATTCCAAATACCGAAATTGCCGAAGTATGAGGTCTACCCTCTGCGTGTGGTAGATGAAGAGAAGGCCAACCACTTCGACCTGTTGTTGGTAACGGACGGTGACAACTCACATTATACGTACATTTCGAATTTTTCCCGGCTCGTGCGCAAGCAGAAAATATCACACACGGAAAGACTTGTATTTTGTAAACGTTGTTTTACTAGTTTCGATGATAGACGGAATAAATTCAAGCTGGGCGGATAGGAGGCGCTAGAACAGCACAAATTGATTTGCGGGAAGCACAAACCAATTCTGCCGGAGATGCCGAAGGAGGGGGAGTGTATTGAATTCAAGACGTGGAAAAATACGGTTCGACACCCATTCGTGATATATGCGGATTTCAAAGCATTATTGGTGAAGACGGATGAGGATAAGGGAAAAAGCACAAAAATAATACAAAAGCACGAGGCGATGAGTTACGGGTTTATGGTGAAGGCGAACGACAACGTACCGTTGGAGTTGTTGGATGAGTACGAGATACCGAAGGAGCCAGTGGTATATAGAGGGGGCGAGAGTCGACAGGACGTGGCGAAAAAATTTGTAGAAGCGATAGTTGGAGTGAGCAGGAAAATTGAAGAATTGATGAAGACGAATATACCGATAAAAATGACCGAGGACGAAGAAAGAACATTTCAAGCGTGTACAGAATGTAATCTATGTAAACATAGATTAGTCGGAGGCGGCGGTAAAGTTAAGGATCATGATCATCTGACGGGCAAATTTAGGCAGACTTTGTGCTCAAAGTGCAACTTGGAGTTACAACAACCTAAATTTGTCCCCATATTTTTTCATAATATTTCAAACTACGACTCGCACTTTATAATATCTGAACTTGGTTATGACACAGAGTCTATAAACGTTATTCCGAACAGTGAAGAGAAATTTATATCTTTTTCGAAATATATAAGTAGTACCTTCACTGTTCGGTTTATTGACACGTTCCGGTTTATGGCGTCGAGTTTATCGTCTCTGGCGGAAAATTTAATTACAGTAATACAATTTAATCAGTCGGACTGGTTGGCCGAGTACATTAATTTGAACACTGAAATGAGGAAAAAGGCAAAGAACGCGTTTGAGAAAGATTTTTACAAGCTCATGAACAATGCTATTTTTGGTACCTTTAAACTTTTTGAACTTATTAAATTTTTTAAAACTTAAAAAAAAAATTTTTTTTTCTAGGGAAGACTATGCAGTCCAAAAGGAAGGAGATGAAGATGGAGTTGGTGTTGTGTGAGAGGAGATTACAGAAGTTAATAAACAAATGCACATTTAAACATTTTACAAATTATAATGAGAACCTTAACGCTATTGCTTTGGAGAACAAAATGATTAAATTTGATAAACCTATCTATATTGGTAAATACACATTATGTTTTATATTATACATTTATTAACACATTTATTTTATACAGGATTTGCAGTGTTAGACATATCAAATACGATGATGTACGACTATCACTATAATGTTATGCAGAGGCATTATGGGGATAGAATCAATCTCATTTATACTGACACAGGTATTATAATATTATATATAATATATATATTAATTTAACATTATTTTTCTAGATTCATTAGTGTATCATATTGATACTGAAGATTTTTATGTAGATTTGGTGGCTAATCGTAACTCGTTGGACCGGATGGACACTGCTAACCTGCCCAGTGACCATCCGTGTKATGTGGCAGATAGGAAGAAGAGTCCGGGATTCTTTTCCGATGAAGTCGATGGCAATGTGGTGACAGAGTTTTGTGCACTGCGTGCCAAATCGTATGCATTCAATGTATATGCTGGAGAGGGCAATGTAGAGGGGAGAGAGAGAATCAAAGCCAAGGGGATCAGGTCTAATGTGGTTAAGAACCATATGACTCTTGAAGATCATAGGAAGTGTTTGTTTGGTGAAGAGGGAGTAGAATTACACAGGGCGAACGTGTCAATACGGTCATTCAACCACCAGCTTATGACAATAAAAACTAATAAATTAACATACAACAGCTACGATGACAAGAGGATAGTATTACAAGATAAAATACATACAGTAGCACATGGGCATTATAGTATAAAGTAAGTTATTACAAATATATATATTTAAATTATTTTACTAATATTTTTAATTTTATGGGGGAGATGATCTTAATTGGCCTGAGCTTGAAGATGAGGTGGATGATGGTGAACAGAAATGGATCGATGAGGAAAAAGAAATGATGAGAGAGCTACTGCGTCATATGGTAGATTAATTTTGATTTTAAATGTATATATTTTTTGTTATTGTAAATTAATATAAATTGTAAGTACTTTGTATATATTTTGTTTACTTGTAAATATTAATCGACTAATTTGTTTATGTAAATACTTTGTAAATGCAACACATCAACTTGAAATTATTATAAATACTGTGCAACATCATGTTTTATCAGATTAATGTAATATTTTCACTTTTTAATGTATACTTTGTAAATATCCATGTTAACGTATATATTTCTGTAAAATAATAGCTAAATGTATAAAATTGTATTATTTTCACCTTTATAGTGTATAAACACTCTGCATGTAGTCATGTTAGTTATTTAAGCTAGATTTATAATATATTTCTTGTGATATTTATTTTTATATATCCATATATAATGTATAATTTGTTAGATATTTTGTATTTTCATGTATAAATGTTCATTATCATATTTTTCTGTTTCAGGAAGTCTATATATTTAATTAACCTTGTAATTGATAACATAAATGTAGCATGTAAATAAATAAATAAAAAACAATGTTAAAATATAATTATGTTTATTATATAAAAATTGCGTACATTTTTAAGAATTATTTATAAACCATTTCCTTATAGCAAATACTTTATAAAATGTACATTGTTTTGGATTAAACTCCATATGGAAAATGCAACATGGAAGAGTTTCTTCATCACATATTTGTTCCAAGCGTGGACACCCGAGGTCTTCAATGTTGATGAGTGTGACATGAGGTATAAATCCAATGATAATTTGTGTTCACCTTTAACGTATATGCTGGTGAACTTTAATGAATTCAATATTCTTCCGACTTCTTCATATTCGATATCACCATAATCTATAGTTAGTTCATGATAATGACGTTCCAGCCACTTGTTAGTTTTTCGACTCTTGTTGTCCTGCATAGATTTTGAATTTTTAAAAATCCAATGTTGTGCTGCCCATGTTTCTGTGTCGACTATAGACATTTCTTTAATAAGATACTTATTGTTCGCTCCAAGAATGCATTGAAYGTCYAAGATGCCCGAAGACATTATGCCTTGTCTTTAATATAAGTTCCAATAGTGTTGAGTTGACTTTGTATGCTAGGCAATATTTTTWTAATTCCTTCGATATTTTCTAATGAAGCTGCAATATTACTCACACGTTGCACTATATCTATACACGTTAGTTGTAAGTTTTCTGTTTGTTCTTCCAGCACAAGCATAGATTTGTTATTTTCTTCGATTAAATGTTCGATTTTATCAATTTTATTTGTACATGATTTGATCGACTGTTCAAGATTTGAAATATTTTTTTTTGTCTCACTAGCTTGAGAACCTCCGAACACGTTCATGGTTATAATACTACTGACACTATATTTTAACATCGCGTGTATTTATCCAACTATTATGTGTATTATCAAACCCGAGCCATTTGACAAATACTTGCTTGCCTTTCTTACGTATTATTTTTTCGATTAAATATTTGTTTGGAAGATTAGTTTTAAATATTTCTTCAGAATAAAAACAACCTGAAAATAGGTTTTCCCATATAATCTTGTAATTGATAAGTAACGGGTAATGTTTTATTTATTTTTATGATCTCAAATATTTCCGTAGACCAGTTCGGCAGATAACCTTTTGTAAACACGCCTTTTTGTGTACTGATACGAACGTTATCACCAACTTAGGTTAGGTTATTTTATTATTATATAATTTTTACATTATTTATTTCACGGTGTTTTATTTTCACTGACGTGGGGTTGGCATCTGCTTGCATTGGTGTCATTCCTATAGTCCTATGTCGCGAACTGTTGTATTCGTCAAGCRACATTGGTAAAATCGAAATCCACTCGTGCGAGCCGCGTGCTGTGAACTCTCTGAACATTTTTTCCTTTAATGTCCTATTAAACCTTTCTACAATACAAGCTTTCATGRTGCTAAAAGTCGAATATTTGAATATGTTATACTCGGTCATTAATGCGTCGAAAGTGGTGTTATAAAATTCTTTTCCGTTATCGACTTGTAAAAGTTTCGGTGAGTCTTCAAGTAATATTTAAGACATTGCGCTAGTGACTTCTTTCCCAGTTTTGGACTTTAATGGCGATGCCCAGGCACGCTTCGTAAAACAGTCTATTATTGTCAAATGTACTTGTTATTTTTATTTTTATTGGAATATGGAATCATTTCAACCAAGTCAGCTTGCCATAAATCATTTTTTCCATACACGTTAACTCTGCTATATATAATTTTACTCTGAGCTTGACATTCTACCCATATTGTACCTAATGGTTTTATTAAATATCCTCCAAATGTTTCTATTCTTACTTCACACTTTTCAATTGGCTTTGGTATCAAACTGTTATAGAAACTATAGGGTAATATACTAACTTCAGCGCCTGTATCAAGTTTTATTTCCACATTCAAATTATTAATTTGTATTTGTATTTGTCCATTTTTTCTTTGCTAAGTTATTTTCCTCATTAAGAACTCTTGCTATACTATTAATATTGAAGTACTCATCACTACTGTCTGATTTTTCAAAATCTACTGTTCTCACTTTTTTTATTTTTGCAACCTACAGCAAAATGATTCATCTTCGAACAATTACTACACTTTTTCCCAAATGCTGGACAACTTTTTGGACCATGTTCATTATTACATTTTTTACATAAGTATTTTACATCTTTATAACTATTTTTATTAACATCACTGTTATTAACAATTTTATTTTTATTTTTATACAACTGCTTACCTTTAAAATCCTTGTTATGATGCTGCTTGAATGACTTAACTTCTGCTCTGTTTACTGATACCCCTTCCTTGCCGATGACTGCTGTTAATTCGATCTCGTGCCTACTTTTCTCCGATAATTCAATGGACTGACAGAACTGCACAGTTTGCTCTAAATCCATATTTTTCTCTAGTAGCTTTTGTTGAGTTTCTTTATTTTGAATACCCAATACAATTTGAGTACACAACAACTGTTTTTCAGCATCTTTTAACTGACAATGTTTTACAAGTTCTTTTAGATCTGTGTAATATTTGTCAAACGGTTCTGACTGGTTTTGTCTTCTTTGAAAAAATTTGAATTGAGACATTACCAGATTTCTTTTTGGTATGCATCTTAGTTTCAGTGCGTCCGACATTGCACTTACTGTTTGTTCTTCAATGTCATCTTTTATTTGGAAATATATTTTTCTAGCTTCTGCACCCATTATGTTCAAAAGTCTAGCAACTTGCGTTTCTTTCGATTTCTTAGTGGTTTCAGTTGCTGTGAAGAATATCTCGACTTCTTGTCGAAATAATTCGAAATTTGACTCCACGTCTCCTTCTAGTTTTAAAATTGCTGGTTTTTCGAACTCCACCATTTTACTAATTATTAGTTTTAATTTATACACTATAACTATGGACTAGTTAAAATCCTACGGACTACGCCATGTTACGTCTTATGTTACTGACCTGACGTTGGTTGATGGTGATTTAGGAAAGATGGAATCAGATGCAAAAAAGAATGTGGGTTTTTGAGCATTTTATTTAATGTGTATTAAAGAACAGTGATAACTGTTACAAAAAGGTTATGTGTGTGATAACATCCTTATCACATTAGTTAATCAAATAATATTAGATTATGTAACAAATACGATAATTGTACGTGCATGAATTATTTGTATGTTGACATAACATTAAATAAAAATAAATAAATGAATAATAGTAATAATAATAATATACTAATAATACATAAAAAATAAAATATAATGTTGAGTATTTTTTCACGTTTGTGGATGTCAATAATATTAAATACATACTTTTTATATTTGTAGTTGGAAATTGTATGCAACACCACGAAGGTAATCCATTGTTGCACGGTTATTATAATCTGCACATATTTTATTTTAAATTTAAATTTTATTTCTATACATTTTTTTTGATGGTGGTTCTTGACCCGCGACATACTGCTGAATTTTTAAAGAATTAATACTTTCTTCTTTTTGGAGTGCATGTATAAATCTCCAAATTGATGGATGTTTGGATGAATTAAGTGTAGACGAAAAACAATTGTGCCATCCTTCAACTGCATTATTAGTTCGTAGAAGGTCTGCCGCTACTAAATCATAACAATTCCATACACTAATGGGGATGATCGGATCTCTTCTTTAGCCTCTACGATGCAAACGGCCAATCCAGGTGCCCTCAAAGTAGTATATAATTGGCATTAACATTTCTTAATTTTCAGAAAAGTATTCAGAGTCTAAAAGTTTTTCATAGTCTTTTATAACTTTSTTTTGTGGCACAAAAGCAAGAGCAGGTAACATACGAATATGTAAGGCAAATTCAGAATCTTGTATGTAATTTTTTTGTAACCCTGCTTCTTGTAGGTGGCGCCAAATACATTGTGATAGGTGAAAAAAACATCCATTTATTGAGGTATTTGGAAATTCAGATTTAACAGCATTCATCGCTGCTTTTTCAAAATCCATCATAATAGACTTKGGATTTAAATTTTGGTTTAATGATTTAAGAGCCTTAAACATTTGTATATATGTCTCTTCTTTTTTGTCGAGTAGAAGAGCGTAAGCAGAAGGGATAACATTTGAATAATGTACAGCGTGAATTGTATATAACTGTTTAAACGGAATAGGCGATCAAGTAAAAGTGCCATCGCAAAACCAATCAAGGCAATTATTCATTAACTCCAAACTATTATTCGTCGAAAACAATAATATTCTTTTTGTATACGATTTGTTATTAAAAAGTAGAAAATCGTTGCCATTTGTCGTCTTTGTAAATTCKTCAGGAATATCAAAACTAAAGTTTAAAGGGTTTACAGGAGCATTTAGTTTAGTTTGACGAGCACGTTGTATTGTTCTTTTCAAACTAGCTACGCTGGGTAATTGACCTGCAACCGATAAGGGAACCTAAGAAAAATATAAATGTTAACGTATTGCTTTAAATTTAAAATAAATGATAAGTTTTTTTATTGTAAACCAAACTTATGGAAAATCTTGTATTAAATTTTCATTTTTATAAATATTTATAAAAAAAAAAAACTAAACAAAAACAAATACAAAAAATACAAAATTAAATAAAATGCAAAAATTTAACTTTCTTTGAAATAGTTCTAACATGACATGTATATTATTCCTATTTCCTTTAAACATTCAGTCTAAAATTCAAATTCTTTATGCAAGTTTCAAGCACTTTTTTATAATTTTAATTTAAAATTCAAAATATTTATATAAATCAATTTACCTGACTTGCTATGTTTCCAATGACTCCCTGACTTGTAGCAGCAGAGGTTTGTGCATCGTGTTTCATGTTATACATTAATTCCTYTGTCTCCACTTGAGCATTATCTGGTACATGATTATGTTCATAACTTTTGACAACTTTGTCATTTTCCACATGAACACGACCACCACACTTATATTTTTTATACAATGAACATTTCCAAAAAGTTTTTTTTTCCGTTTGTTTTTCGTGGTAGAACATGTAACTTTTATGTACGATTATATCTGTACCACGATCACTTTTTACGTATTTTAAAACCATAGTAATTAAATACTTATTGCGGTAAAATAAAATTGGATGGTCAAAATTACTGGTTGTACTGTTGTTTGATTTTTGTGACAGGTATGTGTTAGTATTAGTATTATACCTACTATTCCAGAACACATTGGGATTTTTGTGCTCATTATAAAATGTTCGATAACGAGATACGTTATCGATATGGTTTTAAACTTCACACATTCCACACTAAATCAAATAGTATGTTATTTATACCAAGGGGTGGACACTTAAATTTTATAACATGGTAATCATACTTATCACACAAAAAGGTGGCGACCATATTCTTATTTATGAATCAGTCTGTCCACACAATGGAAAAAAAATATCTAAAATTATATCGTGTAATTATATAATGAAACTTAATCACAAAATGATACGGTTCAACTGGTTCAAGTTAAACTTAAAATCTTTAAGTCTAACTTTTTTAAATTCTGGCTTATTTTTAATTTAATAGTACCTAGGTATATTATTCAATTCAATTATAATACAAATTAATTCAAATTTAATATATTATATCTATTTCCAATTGTTGTCTATTTATGCTGATTAAAAACTTTATTTTTTTAGAATAACACTTCCATAAGTATAATTAATTAAATTAGGACAATAATAATATGTAATTAGGTATAACAAATAGAAAAAAATAGTGATTCAACAAATATTTATTTTAATGTACAAGGTAATGTTACAAATGTTTTATAATTGCGAGTTTTCTATTTCTACGATTTATTTCAGTCAGGAGTTCTCTGTTTAAAAACTTTAAGGATGAAAAAAAAAATTCTTAATCTTACATATACTTTGATTAAGAATGCTTTGATCATGCATATGGACAAGGATGATTAAATGGTACATTGAAAAATGCATTTTTCATTTTAATGCCTACATTTTTGTCTACAGCTAAGATAGGAAATTGTTCAATAAATATATTTTCTAGTTCAAAAATAAAATTGTGGAAGTCATTGTGTGGTAGATTAAGATGTCCAAAGATGGTCTTATTTTTGTCTACATATGATTTAAAGTGGTAGAAAAGAAATGATTTGTCTAAGTCCTTTTGACTGTGCCCATATTTGATACATTCATTACACGTATGATTTTTTAAACATTTCATATACAAGTATCCACAAATATAATTTAATGCATTACTTTCAGGTATGTTAAGGTCTCTGTAATCAACATCTTCAATTTTCAAATAAGGCATGACATTGATTGGATTTGCTGTCTGCTTTGGAAGTATTACCGGTGTGTTGCAATTTCCATTCTCTTCCACATTTAAATGACTTAAAATGCTATCCAAATCTTTTAAGCAATTTGCATTAGGTGAGTGTTTAAAATAATTTAAGCAGAATAATTTTTTGAAGGCACAGTAAAACTGAACAGGTGTCGGATTTAAATTATTCCCATTTTGAAGTCGAAACATACCAAAAAGATTTTCGAGACGATCTGTATTTAAACGTGATGTATACAGAACAAAATTACAATCATTTGTGGGATTCATGTTACACCACAATAATAATAGTCCATTTATTGATATCAACCAGCCATTAATGAAGTTCATTCGGTTAGGTTCATTGCTGCATGAAGTTTTCCTCGTTGTTTATGTCAGCCAACTTTTGACCCAAAGTGGTAATAGTTTTTTGTGCTTCAATCCTTGCCTTCTTTTCAAGTCTGTACTTTGATTTCAATGATTTTTTTCTAGGTGTGTCATCAGACCACGAYTTCAAGGTTTGAACAACTACTGRCGATGCTAAACAAATAATAAAATGTGTACAACCAAGTAATAAATGCTTATAAAAAGGTATTCAAAATGTATGCATTTGAATTTTAAATAGCACATAGGTAATATTATTATTATACATTATAAACCTAAACATGAATTGAATTTAAAATCAATATATTAATTATACATAAATTTAAATAGGGTTTTCAATTGCATAAGGCTTAAGCACAAAAGATTTCAAGAACAAAAGAGTGCGGGATATTCGTTTTCCACCCACTACAAACAAATTTATCTGATACAATTCAAAACAGTCTAAAATTAAATGTTAACTAATTCATTATATTGTTCGATTGGCATCCTAATAAGTCAATTGTGAAATGGATGAACAGCAATGAATTATTATTTGTACATTTAAATTTGTAACGCTGAATGAATTATAATAAGCATTGTAATTTATAGGATTGTATGATAATACAGTGAATTAGCATTTTTCATATATTTTTTCGGAATAGGAAATTTAATAATAACAGTATTTAATAATATTAATAATTGTATTTGAAAAAAAGAAAGTATTTAAATACATGCATACAAATAACTTAGAACATAATATAAGTCATTATACAATATAAAATGTTGAATTTTATTCCTTAAATCATAATATATTTTCAATTTTCTATGCCTTTGTTGCACAAGTGTTCATTTATCGGCCTTCGTAGGACATATAGCACTCTTGGTGGTGATAACTGTCCGTTGTAAAATTTTCAAGCAAGCGTTAAGCACAGAATAGATGAAATGAAGAATGAAACAAGTGACAATACATTATCAATACACCTTGAAGGGGATAAATAATTATGATAAAAATATATTGTTGAACATAAAATATCATAAACTAACTAAACAGTAGGTAATGTAATTTTATAAAGTAAAAACTATGTACAATTATAACTTACAATTTTTCCCAGACTCATTTGTTTCAAATGAATAATTTAACTCCAATTCAAGTGAAACATATGAATGATCAGTACATGGACTGTTTATCGTGTTGTGTGAAATCATATTCATAGTCATTGGAAGCAAGTTACCTAACAAATGAATTTGTTGAAATCAATCTTATGAGTAGAGTAGGTAATAATACATAATATGATAAATAAATAATATAATATTTACTTGGTGTACTAGAATCCAATGGTAGAGCTAATACATTTGGCGAAGAGAGAATTGTGGTTTCACATTCTGTTGGAGCATTAGATGGATTATTGTCAACAGTAGAACAAAAATCAAGTTGACGTGAAATGCTGCTGGAAGAAGACGGTGTATCATCTAAAATATAATACAAACTATACAGTATATTTCATTTTCAAACATAATAAAACAATCTAATATAAAAATGAAATTGTACACTAACTAATACAATGTCTCGGTATTGCATGACTATGAAGTCTATTGTGAAGATCATTTAAAAACATTTTTTTTTCAAAGTGTTTGCCACACACCTTTAAGGACTTTTTGTATGTAAGCATCAGGAATTGTGATACCACAGTTTACAATCCACTTTGCACGGCTATGATTAAGAATTATTTTTTAGTATTTTTATTACATTTTTTCTATATAATGAATTTATTTTATTTTATTATACATACTTAGTTGGATCCTTCGGAAGAGAAAAATAACTAACGTTAGGATTTTGAACCATTTTGTTTTGACAACCTGAATACGAAGCTTTGATGTGATTATTTGATTTATTCATTATAAAAATAATATACCAACAACCACAAACAACTGACAACAAAAAAATTTCAATTAATGCAAATAACAATATTAGCACAAGTTGCAATGTGAAAAGTGAATTAACGATAGGTCACAATATGTTTACAAACATTACAAACTGGTCGGGACGTCGGGTATGAATGTATGATAGTGTTTAATACAACTTAATTTCATAACCTAACAAATTATTCTCTGACAGCATAAATAAGAAGATGRCGGCCACCATCCCCACTACATGCAAAACGTTCCTTGCTTTAAGTATCCTTTCTGATTTCATATATTCTGTGTTTATACTGCCGTATAGATTACAAAACATATTACATGATAAGCAAGTCTTATTATTTTTTTTTTTTTACGAACAATTCATGGACGAACAATTTTCGTATTCGAACAATTTCCAGGCGAAAATTAGACATGCGAGCAACTGTCGCGCGAACTATTTTTGGCGAACAATTGACGCATATCCAAGGCAAAAGGGGCTAAGCGACATGGTGTATACTACGGAACAACCGACAGTTAAAGCAATCGAGCGCCCGAGCGCTAGTGTTCGTATGACAATTTAGTAATGAGAAAATTGATTTTTATTTTTCGGTATTTTACGGTATAAGCGCTTTGTATCTTAAAATTTGGATTTAAGCAAAGTAAAGCTGCAATTTTACTTTATAAGTATTTATTTTATTAATTTTAGTTTCTAGTATACATTTCTTTTATTATTTATTATTTGTTACTCAACATTTTAAAGATTTGAAAAAAAAATAAGGTATTTATTCAAACTAATAATATTATTATTGCTATTTAAATAAGGGTACAAGCGCCCTTCATCGCATATGAAAAAGCAAAAAAATCATAGCTAAGAGCCAAAAAATGGTAAGTTTTAACAAAATTCATTGTGTTTAAAAAATTAACGAGACATTTCAGTATAACTAGTATCAAGCCATCAAGGTTAAAAATAAGGGTAAATGAAAATATACAATAACCTCATTCCTGGAGCTTAATTAAACACCAAAGCCCCAACGCCACTTGAACATTTTGTTTTTGCACTCCTGAAAAGTTGTAAAAATGTCACTTGGCCCCTTTTTTCTTATATACCGGTTGATATGTCTAGTATCAGGTCATGCATAGAATTAAACGTTATAAAAACGTAGTTTAAGGTTAATATTAATTTTTTTTTTCATCGATTTAAAGCCCGGCGACTGAGGTCATTAGCTATACATAGTCCATTGGGTTTGAGGTGGTAAGATAGGGGTTTATTTTGTGTTTGTAGGATTTTTAAGTTGGTAGGGTTGTAACACGTGTTTGTGTATGTGTGGTAAGGATATTTATTGTTTCTAAGATTACCGGTAGATCACTCATCCGGGAGCTTGCAACTTCGGCCAGTACGTACACTCAGTGCGTTTCCACAGATTGAGCGTACGACCGCGCCTCACCAAACCACGAAATATTTAATTATAATAGATTATAACCATAGACATATAAAACAACTAGATAGTCGACTGTGAATTACATTCCATAAGAACGTTGAAGTCGGGCCGCCATATGCCAACAGGGCAATGTTTATATAAAAACTCAATAGATAAGATACCTATATTGATAAGTGATAATAAATAATAATTCAAATAATGAAAAAACGAATTTCTTTTCATATTCTATTGTCAAAATGTCAAGTACAAATTTAATTACATAAAGTAGCAATAAGTACATAATATACTACAGTACAAATATTTATATTAATTTTGTTATCAAAATTTTATTTTTGTTATCATAATTTTGTTATCAAATTTTGTTATTTATTTTGTTATTTTCTTATCGACCATGCGATTTTGTAAACATTGCCCTATTGGCATATGGCGGCTGACTTCAATATTATCCTGTAGTCGGCTATCTAGTTGTTTTATATGTCTATGATTATAACTAACAGTTTTTTTTTTTTTAAACATCGGGAAATAGAATGCAGATAATTAAAAAATAAAATCACACTTCTTATCTAAATTATGTTGAATATTATGTAAACATAAGTTTTAATTTAAATATATTTAAGATACATATTATAAATCGTGTAAAATTAAATAATTATATAAATTTAAATCAACTTACGTTGCTCTATAATAGACAGAGAATACCCGATATCAATTAATAAGTGTACAATATATTTATTAATTAAAAAATATTCATCAAATTTTATGATTAAAGTGGAAAATCAAGTGATTTATTTGAAAGTTTTGCAACGAATATTCAAGAATTTGATAGAATATAAATTTCGAAACATAATAATTAGGGTAGAAAAATCATTTGAACTTAAATTGAAATAGAGTTCTTAGTTATAACATATTCATACTTATATTTCTACTATTTGGCCATGCATAGAGATAGAATTAAACATTAGAAACACGTAGTTAAAGGTTAATATTGAATTATAATTGATAATAACTAACAGATTTTTGGTTTTAGAAAATCAGAAAATTGAATGCAAAAACCCTAAACAGTTGACCTAGTCGGACAACCTATCTTTGAAAATAATTATACTTTTTGTTTTATGGTGTCAATAATTGAACCGTTACTAAAATTATTATTTTTTCATAAGCACTCAATAATTTTCAGGCTTTTATATTTTTTTTACAATTAAAATTTTTTTTTTGTCAATAATGAATGTGTTAGGATTGGTTAAAAATTTTCAATTTTTATTATACAAGATCCGAAATAAATCGATTTTTTTTCATCTATTTAATAATATTATCTTTATTTTTTAATTTTGAACGTATTGAGGAATGTATTGATTTTACATGTTACATTAGCTCTGTCATCTCGTTTTGGAGTAGAAATAATGCTTTGATTTTTGACATTATTAACTCTTTGAAAAGGGAAATTGATCTAGTTGGTAAGTATTTGGGTGGTCGAAGTTAAAAAAGTAGTTTTCAAAAGCTTCTGTAAAAATGCTAAAAAAATAACGATAAAACGTGAATTTTCATGCATAATCAGTTTTCGACTTAATTGATTTTTTATTTTACTGTAACTGAAATACGAACCATTGTAAATACTTGAAATTTTCACCAAATGTTTATATCTGCGTTATCTATCTACGATTGAAATTTCAATTTATAGACAGTTGAAATTTTTGATTTATATCAGTTTTTTTTATAAATGCCAACAAAAATAAAATTGGCTACCCAAAAACTCTTTACTAGTTTATTAAGTAGATATATATCATTTATTATAAGATATGTTTTCACACTAGGAAATCCTGTCTCTGCGGTTAGTACCTAGCACTCACACATCCTGGACCAGATACAAGGAGCTAATATAAATATATATAACAAATGAATTATAATTACAATATAACACCAATCTTTATTACAATTGTTGCAATGCACGCAATATATTAGCTGAGGTGATCAGCCTCAGACTAATAAACATAAATAATAGAAATGTCAACAAAAAGACAATAATATATTAAGTACTCTGTCCCATACCAGAGTACCCTTAACACAATTAATAATATTATATATATATATATATATTAAACAAAGAAACAACAAAGGGAACGAGACGGCTGCTCAATACATAAATAAATAAGGGGAACCGGGATGCTGAACTGTAAGGGTTGACGGGTGGGACCTGTTATGAATACCTAACTATAAATAACTAGTATAGTAGGTACCGGATATAATATAGTGTAGGATTAAACAATAATGTTTGTAAAACAATTAGTAT